AATTCATGTTTCTGTCTCCGTGGGGCAGATTCTTTACATTTTCTAGACTTCTAAGGAGCCTAAGAGAGCCGAAGAAGACTGAACAAACTTGGGAATCGAAGGAGACAGCTAGAGAAACCTGAAGAGAATCGTAGGAACCTAGGACCAACTACAGAAAATATATTTACCTACTATAATAGATTCTTACTAACAATAATAGTACAGTCGTATGGTTGACTACACAAATAGTCGCAAAATGCAGACGGTAGGGTAGCTTATCATATCAATAACGAGTTATTGTGTTACGGTAGGTACTCACCCCAGCGACAGGAATAACGTGGGAGACCATCCTCGATTTGTCAAAGTCTGCGAAATTCATAAAAACGCTGGCCGCCGCTGCAACAGCATTTACACGTCGCTGCACGGCAAGGTCCTCCCAATACGCAGAAAAGCCCTCCACTGTTCCACAGAAACCCAGCGACCCTTAGCGAATTTACCGACACTGACACTTAGCGAATTTACGAACAATCGATCACTGGCGACACTGCCGTCGGATAGTTTCTCGCTTCGTCGACGTTACATCTTCAGGAATAGGGAAACTCGCTGGGAACACAGGAAGAAACGAATCCTCGCCACGCACTCAGACTATCCTTGAACGTTCTGTAACATAAAATGGTAAAGAATGATTATAATTAACATTTCATTGATAATTTGTAAAATTTTATGAAGGTCACGTTCAGAAGAGGGAGAAGTGTTCACGATTTGAAAGAGAATCTTTTATTTTATATTTTACATTACATTTTGTGATGATCTATGGATCAGGTAACAATATATATATATATATATATATATATATATATATACAGACATGAAAAAATATAATTTTAGACTTTGTTCAAAAACGTACAGAACTATAAAATTGAAAATTGCACAAAAAGTTGTACAATTGCATTTATCATAGTTAGAAAAATTATATACCGTATTTTTCATCAGACCTGGATTGTTTGTATTTAATAAGAGAGAGTATTGAATATTTCACAGTAAAATTTCGCGACTCTAAGATTTAATAAAATTGAAATTAAATTTGTATATTTAATAAAAGAGAATATTAAATGTTTCAGGTAACAATTTCGCGACCCCATTCTTTCAAGGACCCCTGTTCTATCCCATTACGTATTAATTTAAGGTAACGCTACCAGAACACACATTAAAAGGAAACGTGTTTTCAGGGTTCGACGGCACCCGGGCTCCTCAAAGCCGCCGATACCGAGACAAGGAGTTCGACGCGGTGGCCAGCTACTCCGGAGGGATCGGTGACGAGCGAACAGCAGCTGGAGCACTTAGCACCGAAGGAACGCGTCTCCAGGGGGAATCGGCGAGACTTCCGGCGGCGGCAGAGGATCCTCTCTGAACGTCCTCCGATGAGACCGTCCCCGTAAATTTCGACAATAAGAGGGTGCGCGCCGCCCGTCAAACGCTTCTATTTTTAGGGCCAACCGGCCATTAGACGCCGCTGATGGCAGTTAATCAGGATTCGAGGCTGCCATTAATAAGAAATTATTCTTGGTCTTCGTTCTCGCTTAGCTCAGAACTCGAGGAATGCTTCTCCAGATAGTTAATCTTTATCCTAATCGTTGTTACTTTTAGTAAATTGAATTATTTAGATTAAATAGTTTCCAATCCATTCAAAATAGCTACTATTAACCCTTTGCACTCGAGAGGTGACTCTCAGTCACCATTTAGGTTTCACTCAGCAAATCTACGATACCTAATGTTTCTTTAAGTTCGATTTCTCTGGAACTCAAAGTGTCAATAAAATAATTGTCTGTGAGGTAAAAGTGACCTGCTTCTAAAATCTAGATAGCTTAGAATTAATGGCAATAGATGGCTGAGAAAGCGCCTCGAGTGCAAAGGGTTAAATAAAATCTGTCGTCGAAGCTTCCCAACCTAAGGGCTCGATAATCTAAAAATTCGACCGCGTTAAATACAATTCGCCGATGACCGACGACCAATAGTACGATAACAGCGGCCAGCGATATCGCTGTAGCTAATTAATTCGAGCCAGCCTTGAACTCTCAGCGTTAACCAGAACAAAGATCGCGCGTAGATGTCTTAAAAGCGAATCCCGTTCGAGATTCGCACGGATCGTCGATGTAGGAGCGCCCCGGCCTTTGCGACGCGATTAGGAAAACTCGTTATCTCCCGCTGTATGAGGAAGAAAGATTTATCTCGTTGTTTACTAAACACCGTGTCTCGAGTTAATAGGAATCGCGGAACGAAGTTTACAAACTCCTGCCCCAGCCTTTCGAGATATACGCACGAATAATACACAAAATCGCCGCACGCCCCGGCCTTTTTTTTATTTATTTTATTATCCTCTTTCGTTCCGTGATAGTAAACCGTTTCATTCATGCTCTGCCCGCCGCTAGAGAATGTTTATTATGATGTCGGGGGCGAAAGGAGATAGATAGGCTCGACCGAGAAGAAATTCACCGACGTTTCGTGCGACCTGAACAGACTAAGGTAAAATAGAAACGAGTAACTCGATGATATTTATAAGTAAACAGTTTACTGAACGAATACTTTGATGTTGTAGGATCTTATACGCTCAAGCTTGGATCACGAGAAACAGAGGAGGATCTCTGACACCAAAGTGAGCACCTCAGAGTATCAGTAAGTT